ATACATATATACATATAGTTTAGATAGATAGACATTATTGTACTGTATATATTATTTACTATATTATATTAAAAGGGAAGTACAGTAAGATAATAAGGAAGATTAACTGGAGAATAGTGTGGTTGATAAGGCATCCTCTCAATGAAATTAGACAACATAAACATTTCATCAGAATGGGACAAGTAATTAGTCTCCATTCTTGAAGCAGTCTTTCTGAAACTGAAACATTAAACTATATAGAAGCAGAAAAAAACATTCAGTTAGTTCAGTTTTGTATAAACTCATTCATTCCATTCTTATGGATTGCAACATTCTATCTAGGGACAAGGAATCATTTGGAAATTAAGGTGCACATATCAAACTGGGTATTGCATACAGCAATGTACTGCCATTAAGCAAGGTATTTTTATGATGTGATCCATGCATACAAAAGTAGGTTACTAGTCAGATGTGTTTAACTTAACTAAAATAAGAGAAACGAAGAGTACTGGGCTGCAGAAATCCAGGTGAAAGCTAGATGCAGCACAGATATAACAACTCTTCATTCCTTGCTGCCACCTATGGGTCATCTCCGTATCTACCACTAAGATCTGGTTGCCCTAGTGGAAAATGCCAGGCACATTGCTCACAAAAATACTTGAATGTGTTCAATATTTGGAATAAGTAGAAATACAGAACAACAATGTATCTCAAAAAATAAAATTTGGTTAAAATAAATTTACCTGATCAAGAAGATAAAGCCGGTTAACATATGCTTCTTCTGTATGCAGAAGTTCATTTGCAATATTAAACAGCTTTTGTGGCTCTGAATACTGTGACAATATGAAAAATATGAAAAATCGACTTTAAATACATATTCCAACTACAAGAGAAATCAAGATATTTTGTACTGTTTGTTTCCAATTGTTTAAGTATTCCCCTGTGAGAAAGTCTCTTATTTTCTGTTGCATTGATCAAGTATACAATTAGCTGGTATACAATTAGATAAAATAATCATGCATATGATTATTAAAGGAGCACATTTCACTGTTATTCCAAAATCAAATTAGTACAGCAAAAATTCCTATAACAAATAAAGTACCATGTAAGGTATTTATTATCTTTGATGTTAGCGAATTATATCAATTCTTCCAATGTGTTACTTATTTCAGTGTGGAATTTCCCTCCCTGAATCAAATGTAGTCCCACTGGCCTGACTGATTAACCAAAGGCAGTCAACATTTCATCACAAGAGGTTTAAGTAGTGCTCCTGATCTTGCTTTAAAGGGAGGGAGGAATCAACCCCATTTTCACTGAAGAAAACCAAGATCTCTCTATCCTCACACCACAGAAATGAGAGGTCATTTAAATCAGCAAGGTGTAAGTTAATACAGGTTTGTTCAGCATGTGGACACACAGGTATGTGGTGAACTGGCTACACTGGCTCTCTCAGACAGTGTTTCCCACCCTTCTGTCACAATTCTTGGAGAGTCTTTTCAGTTGCCGACAATTTCCACTCATTACCAAGAAAATTCCTCTTGGCACCTGTTCACATAAGGAAAGTGGGGAAAGTG